TTAACACGAAGGAATCGTCCCCCAGGTTGGGTCAGTCCTCACGGGGCCCGTGACCACGTGCTTCTCGTTACACCGCCACCATTCCCACTGACCCGCAGGGCATAGGAAGTCTCGTCTCAAGTTTGGGTTGTGAACGTTTCTGCATCTGGGTTCCGGGGGTGGGGAGGGGGAGGAGGGGGAGGGGTGTGCACGGGATGAGGTCATCAGGCACTGCCTACGCGCCACCACTCACACACGGAAGGCATCAGCGCCATGCTCGAACCCTCACGCGGACAAAATGCAGACCGAGGGTGCCTGTTCGCGAGAAATCCCGACACTGGATCCTCAGTGGAAAAAGAGCCGGCCCGGAGTCTGGAACTAAGGGTTCTATTTCCCACAGGCTGGATGACCTGGGGCAAGATGGTCAATCTCCGCATTGCAGCTTCCTTTCTGTGACATGAGCCTATTACATCGACCTGTGTCTAAGTTCTCTTGAAGAGTGAAAACTGCCCAAGGTATGGTGGTGCTGGCTGTGTCTTCATTTCCTTATCTGCAGAGTGGGGCTGGTGACACGCTGTCCTGTGGAAGGACACAGAATGAAGGAAGCAGCACGGGCAATGCAGCCCCGTGGAAACAGTCCTCACTCACGCTCTATCTCACACCTTCACTTACCTAAACACCTCCTGTCTTGGATTTAGGACCTGCAGGTCTCTGGGTGCAAGGCACGTGGAGACCAGTGAGGGGAGATGCTACTGCTCTAGACATTGATGGGGTTCTGCTTTTTCAACAGCTCACATGCGCACAGAGATGTTGAGTCGCTTTACACAGCCTGACCCCTCTAAGACCGGGTAGGGGGCTGCAGTGCGTGTCTGAACAGTGGCGCCTTCCTCTGTGCTCTAACCATACTTGGCTCGCACCTCTTTGATAAACTATTTCCCATGTGACCATCTGCTCCTGCACCCTCCCACTGCTAGGAAAGGAGCTAACAGGGCTGGGACCATTCCTCACCTCCAGCTCAAATGCCTTAAGTATCACATAGTTAAAGTTTGTGGAATAAATAAGGGAACTCTCTATTTTACAGGGGAAGAAAAGGAGCCACAGCATGTTGGCAGCGTCCCATACCTGCCTCCAGGGTCCAGAAGAAGGCACCCGAAGCTGAAAAACAATCCTCAGCAGAAAATCCTTGCCCCAGGTCAGAGGCATCTTTGCTTTGCTCTTCTAACAAGCCCAAAGTTAAACCAGCCCTTCACTCTTTCATCATCATCGTAGTAGGTACCGTTATTACAGAGCCCTTACGTGCATTATTTCATTTAAGCATCATCCTTTTGCCTTTGTCACCACGACTATCCTCCCCTGCAGATGGAAAATGAGACCTAGAGGTGGTAAGTCACCTGCCCACCATCACTTGCTAGCGCCTCGTGGAGCTGGGATTTGATCCAGGACAGGATACTGATCCCAGAGCCCTAACGCTCAATACAGCTTTACGTTGTATTGTATGTATATGTAGGTACCACTGAAGTGGTCCCTTCTTGGTGCTCAGCCCCCAATACACACACAGGCTCTAAGTCATAAAGACAACAGAACGACATCCTGGGGTGCTGAGTCGCAGATATTTGAGAGGGCCTGGACTCCAGCTCTGCGTCTTCAGTTGGGAAAACTGAGACGCAGAAAGGAGAAAGGAGCCTCAGCACTGCCGGCAGGGAGGCCTGGAACCCAGAGCTCCCTCTGCAGCCCCAGAGCAGGGCCAGTGCCACCTGCCCCAGAACCGAGACACCTCCATCTTGAAATTCAGACAAGTGAGAATCCGAATTGGAAAACATGGCCTCGGTGTTTCAATTCCGCTAAATTGAATGTTTAATTATATTAAAACTATATTAAAATGTTCGCTTAACTTTCTATCTCTTATTTTCACCTGGGTATGGTACGGTTCCTAAAATAAGCTGCCCCCAACTTCCCCTTTGCACACGTCGTGCCAGCTGTCCACCCCACCCCGCTACACGGAAGCAGCGATTCTGTGATGAGCGTTGGGCACTGAGGCTGATTCCCGTATTGCAGATGTGTGCCTGGGTGATAAAGGGCCCAGGTGAGGGAGGGCCACCGACAGTAATCATCCACTTGTCTCCTAGAAACAACTCAGAGCTGATTCTCAGTGAATGTTCCATTTCAAAAAGGCAGTTCCTTCGAGCTGCCAGGAGAGGGCAGGTTTCCAAAAAACTGGTATCGCAGCAACCATTTCATGAAGAGCCTAAGGACAAAGGCCCCAGGGGAGCTGCAAAGAACAGGGGCTAGGAATTCATTGCTGGGTCCATCTAGAGCCTATCAGCTCCTGGGACAGGCTGACTCAGCAGTCATTGAGCAATTTGTTCTAAGTCTTGCACCAACTCACCCACCAGTGAAAAAATCCGGATCCACGTGGATCACACCCCACAGAGAACCAGAAACAAACCAGAGAGGTCAGAGTGCTCCCTTGCTGACAGAGAAAGAAAGACACATGGGGAGAGATAAAGGAATCAAAAAAGAATGAGGGGTCGGGGGGAAGGAGAGAGAGACACCAAGAAAGTGGTACAGAGACCAGGAAAAAGCTAGAAGAAAGTCAAGAGAGAAATGGAGACACCGAGCTGGAGAAATGCAAAGAGGCAATCGGGTTGGGAAATAAAATGGGGAAAGAGGGAGGAAGGAAGAAAGGAGGGAGGGAGGGAGGGAGGGAGAACTCTTCTGTGATACTCATGTTCTGATCCAGCCAAGACCCACCCCAAGTCCACTACACAGGATCAGGCTTTCTTTCTGTAAGTGGAGCTACACTCCCAAGCACAGACCACGTGTTGTGATTACCCGTACTCACAGTCAAAGGCAGGTTCAGTAGGGCTGTGCTGCATTCATAATGCATTAAGGTGCTCACAGCACATCTCCTGGAAGCAGCACTTAGTAAATTAGTTTCCAAGAACCTTCCCGCTGGAACAGAGGACCAGCCTCAGCCCAGAATATATCGCTGTAATCTACAAAGAGCCACTCCAGCACAAGGAGAACAGGACACGAGGGCGGCCAGGGCAAAAGCCCCATCCTACGCCCCCATGAGACTCACTCACACACCCCAGCGGAAATCACTACCAGCCACGGAGGGGAACGGCGCTTAGCCATAGAAGGTTCCCCAGGATTCTGCGGCGCATGGACGGACGTCATCTGTGTATGTGCCCGGTCCATTTAGACGGCGTCAAACGAACTCCAACTTTTCTACGGAAGTGGGGGCAGGAGGCGAGTGTGCCCGTCCACCCACCCTGCGCCGTGCGCGGCTTTAAATAGACGCCAACATGGCCGCGGCCCCGGAACACAGCAAGAAACTGGAGCTCCCCGCCGCGCCCAGCTGTAATTAGGTTAATGCTGGAACGTGAGGAGCGCAGAACGACCCACTTGGCAGGAGGGGTTGGAAAAGCAGCCCTCCCCCTCCCCCTCCCCCCTGGAACCTGCGCGCAGTCAGACCGCAGGCGGCACTTACCCTTTTTCCGGGCCTGGGCGATGACTTCCGCGGCACTCTTGCTCATCACCTTGGTGATGTACAGGGGGCAGTTGGTCTGGTTGGCTATGGTGATGGAACGGTTCACGGCTTCAGCCTCGACCTGCAGTAGAGCATCCAAGCGTGAGAACTGCACCCACACTCAGTCTGAGCCCGTCTCTACCCTCCTCCCACCGGGAGAGGCCACGGTGAACCAGAGACCCCTGTGTCCTCAGGGCTCTACCCCGAGTGGCACTGCAGGCGGGGGAGGTGACGTGCCCAGTGTCACTCAGTATTGATTGGTTGAAAGGATGGGGCAATTCCTTCCTGGCCCTTGTGGATGGTTCTAAGCGTGGTCGGCATCGGCTGGGGTCTGCAAGACATGCAGATTCTCAGGTGCCTCGGGCCCTTCCCCAGACCCACAGGATCAGTAACTCTGGGGGTGGGACCCAGAAATGTGGCTCTTATGGACCCCAGGTGATGTTTACACTTGCTAATGTTGGAGAACCACGATGCTTGGAAACCAATGGCTCCCAGTTTGGTGCATTCATTCCAGGGGCATGGTCTCCAGTCAAAACATTCAGTGATGAATTTTTGAGCTGGGCTTCTGTCCCACGCCCACAAATGAAGCCAGCATCATCTAAGAAACAATGCGACCTCACAGGGCTCTGGGAACGGAGCAGGCAGATTTGTGTAAACCAAAGGCCCCTCTGTATAGGCAAACCAATCATCGCCAGCCACAGACTGGTACACCCTTCAGCACGAGACGGGAGGGCTGCTCTAACCAGAAACCTGATTCTTTAAGCATGCTGCTTCAGCGAATGAGGTTCCAAAGACCCCAAGGGATTACTGCTAAATAACCCCCAGGGATTACTGATCCGGTGAGACTAGTTCTTAGACCGTTACACCGTACAGGGGAATCAGCAGTGTGTGCTTGGCATGAGCAGCTGAAGGGGCAAGTGAGACGATGTAACAGAGGACCCCAGAAAGCCTTTTGCTCCCTCCCGATTCCTGGCAAAAAGGCTGGCTTCAACTCTTCCAGGCAAGGGACTGGGTCTTCCTTGGTTTGTTGCATCCTCTGGGCAGTTCTCCCGGGGTAGCACCTGGTACCCAGCAGGTGCTCAAAAATGTTTACTGAGCAAATAAGTGACTTCATTTTGGGTTAATGGTTAAAGCTAGGCTGTTCCATAAAGAGCTGCTACTTTTCATAAGAAATGACCAAGCTCTGGACTGAACCATCTTAGCTAACCAGTCTCTACGGCAGCTCGGCCAAGAGCTGAAGTTCCGCAACTGCGCTAAGGGGTGATCTAATTTAATATACGAGGACATCCTTCACATTTGGTCTCTTGGGCTTCAACTATGTGAAGAGAGATGTCTCGAGACGCAAAGGCAAACCAAACAGCTCTTGAAAAAGCTCATTAAGCATCCAAGTGTTTTTAATTCCTGGCATAGCTGAACAATCGGCCTCCCCTCTCCTGGGCTCCAGTTGCAACACAAGGGCCTCTAGCCCAGGCAGCACAGAGGAGGGACGTCTTGCATCTCTGCGGTCACCATAAAAGTCCACAGGGTGAAATGCAAACAGGACGCCACTAGAATCTGCATGGCTTCCAGGGGTGCAGGTGACTGCCCAAATTCACTGTCCCAACCCAGACTCTTCTGAAAGCGAACAGAGGCGCTATTCATAACTTCACGGGGCAACGGGTTTGGACCCCGGGTGAACCAGAATGCACAGTCATGCTGATTAGGGAGTAAATGGAGCAGAAGTGCCAGTTCTAGGGGGCCCTACCCTGGAGCACTGGCTTCTGTGAAGACTGCTTTGGTGGGAGAATCTGGGCCCCAGGGCCCTGTCTGGATTGGCTCATCCGCTGGAAGGTGAGCTCTGAGCCCTCCCCACCCCGCAGTCGGGCAACTGCCGTGAGGGCAGAGGCTCTAAGGTCACCTCGCGGAGAGAGAAGGTCATGTAAACCCCACGTCTCTACATTTCACCCAGACCATGGAAGGATCCACGTGTACCGTTCTGGTGCACATGTGTATGCCTCCGCTATTAACATAAACTGTCTCACACATAGTGAACTCTGGCTTCAATATTATGACAACGGTATTACAGTTTAAACATAAAATTTTGTATTTGTCTCCTTACAGAGCTGTCAGGGATTTAGGGGCTCACCTAAGCCCTGGTTTCTGGTTTTAAAGATGGACCACCCCAAGGTCCAGGGAGCAAAGCAACCTATACAGGCACGCACAGAAGTGTCAGTACACGACACTCCCCTTGCGGCCCAGGTCCCCAGCTGTCTGCATACCCCAGCCGTCCCATGCTTCAAGGCCCAGTTAGGAGGCTCCCTCCTCCATCAAGAATTCTGTCACCCTTACCTCCAGTGCCCCACTCTCCTCCCAGACACCAGTCTTTGTGTGTGTGTGTGTGTGTGTGTGTGTTCTGTGCCACATCACATGGCTTGCGGGATCTCAGTTCCCCGACCAGGGACTGAACCCAGGCCACAGCAGTGAAAGCCAGAATCCTAACCACTAGGCCACAGGGGAACTCCCCAGACACCTGTCTTACAGCTGTAACTGGCTCAGAACTCCATCACATGCCACGCCCCTACTTACTTTGCATCTCCCCCTTCCTCCCCAGCTTGTCTGGAATCCCTCTCAGAAGGGACCACTTTCTCATCCACTTCTATGTCCCCCACAGGCCTCCATCATAACACATAACAGTGGTGCTTGGGTACCACTGACGGACAGGAGGTTTCTAGATTTCCACATCCCCTATCGTCTCCCTTTCAATCTCCTCAGCTGAAAACTGGGGGAAATCCGACTGGCAGTCTCACACGGTTGGGTTGGAAAGGCCAGCAGAAAGAAGAACAGGTTTTGTGTGGTTCAAGCACAAGTTAACCATCATGATGCTGGCGATGGCTATAAAACCAGGAAGGAACCACATTTTTGTATGTTCTTAACCGTTTCTTGCGCACTGGCGACATCCCCTTACCGGACTCTAAAGCTCAGTTCCCTCAGGATGCGTGCATGTTTTATCCTCTTTGTCTCTTACAGAGGGTTTAACACGCTGTTAACAGATCCCTGGCGATGAACTAAAAAACCACCCCCAGCAGCCAAAGGAGAAGGGGGTGGCTGGCGCCTGGCAGCTCACGGGGCTGACCTAGAGGTGCACCTGCTCAGGGGAAGCACCGCATGCTGGGCCCGGCCTAGAGTCGGTGCCTCTGAATCAGCTGAGAGGCAGGTGACCGTGGAAAGCAGACAGAAGAGAAAGTCCCCAAAGCAGCCTCTCGTGAGACCACGGGACCCTCCCAAGGAGCCAGAAGCTCCCCGTGTTGGAGCGTTGCCGCTCTGCCAGCCCCTAAAGGAGCCTTCCCAATCTACGGCTGGGGATTCGGAGGTTCGCAGTGCAACCGCGGCTACAATGTGGAAAAACAGGTTTGATGTTTGTGGTCAAAATAGCAACCAGGACCCCTCTCCTCTGACAGCTTTGGCCTGTTCAGTAAACCCAGGGCAGGCTTGCTTTCTATGTGGGGTTTGCAGGGACCTGGGGATGCAAAGCAGACGGTGGGAGAGACGGAAACAAGCCCCAGGGAAGGCTCTGAAATGGAAACAAGGGCGCGGCTCTCACGAGGAGCCCCGGGTATCAGGAAGAGGGGCGTTTGCTTTTCTCAGAGGACGATACCCTCTTCCTCTTCCCAGTTGATCCAGCCCAGCCACCGGATGAGGTGAGAGTCCACTTTCCAATGAAGCCCAGCCCCAGGTGTCACCACCTGGTTACACAGGCCCGCTGGCTTCCCACTGAGCTTGGGTTCCGGGGTGTGTGTGTGTACACACTGAGGGGTCAGGAGGGCAGGCAGGATACTGCTTGCACTTTAACTTCACACCCCCGTGATTTCTTTACACGAGACACGCTTCAGTGCAGGACACCTCCAGGCAGCACCACACACAGGCAGCAGAATGGAATGGGTCCCCTGGAGCCAGCCGTGCAATGGACTGAATGGCGCCCCCTGGAGTTGTGAGAAGGAGGCTGTGTTGTGTTGCCCTCACAGGACGCTCTAAAGCTGAAATGTGGGCTGTTACGCAGTGTCTGGCACCTCTGGGTACTCAGGAAATGCTAGCTCCCAGTGGGGCTTACAAGGAAAAGAAGGGAGAGGCAGCCCTCTGCCCCTCCTGGAGACCTTGCAGCTCCAAGGCCGGATCCCAAAACTGTTTCAAGACTGAACGCAGGGCCAGCCACCTCCAAGGAGGATGGGTCTGGGGACCGTCATGCCTGCGCCGCCCTTCCCACTCCCACAGCTTTATCCAGGGAGATGCGGTTAAAATGATCACCGAGGCCAGCCTTGAAGGGGAAACAAAGGCACAGAAAGGAATCTTCGGAGTATCTGTGCAAGCACCCCTCTCACCCAGCAACTCCCTCCACCTGTTTCCAGGAGGAAAAATCCTAATTTTAAGTCACCATCCACTCCCGTGATGATTTTATCTGCCCCCTCTGCCTGTCTCTTTTCCTGGAAGGACAAAAATCTATTCATTTCCATGAGACCCCCAGCATCCTCTGCTCAGAGCTGCCAAGTCCTCCAACGCCTGCCCTTGAGCCTTTCCTTCAAGAGCCTGAAAAGCATTCAGAAGCCACAGATTCTAATTTAGAAAAACAGGTTCTCTGTCCCGTAAGATGTGAGCTCCCCCTTCTCACTCACAAGCCTCGCCACCCAGGACAGTGACTCTCGACGTCGGGGCCAGCAAGAACCCTGCTCTGAATTTTCCCCCCTCGATTTTGAAAGATTCTGTCTACCACGCTCTGCTGATTATGTTATACCCTGTGCAGACTTACCATGGAAAAACGTACGGTCCCCCTTCTGCTCTCTAGACACTTAGAAGAGCTGTTTGGTAAGATTCTGAAGGCCCTAGCTTATGAACCACAAAACCCCAACTGCTGGATGCTAATAAAAAGCTGTTTGTGTCTGTCTACCCAAGAAAGGGCTTGAAGAATTAGAGACAGAAAGAGGAGTCTTTAGGCTAAACAAGCCATACTGCTTTACCCCACAGCACAGTCTAACCCTTCACTTCGCCTGTGTAGACACTTCTCAGGGGGTGATGTGACTTCTCAGAGGGACCAAAATCAGCACCCGAGAAGCCCAATTCTCAACAGGCAGGAGGTGGGTTCTCTGTGGCTCTGGTGGCGCCCACCCCAGAACAAGGATTCATGCATTCCGTCCAACAGACGCTCACCTCCTCGGGCCGGCTCAGCACATGTCCCTCAGGGCCCGTGATGCCCAGATCCAGGATCCTCTGCTGCTCCTGCAATGTTTAAAGAAAAGCAGACTTTCAGGGAGAGCTGGACCCCAGATGGCTCTGACTGCTGAGACGTGGGTAAAAATTACTCGGGCAAGACCTCAAAATGGCACGCTGGGGCTTCCCTGGTGGCGCAGTGGTTGAGAGTCCGCCTGCCGATGCAGGGGATGCGGGTTCGTGCCCCGGTCCGGGAAGATCCCGCATGCCGCGGAGCGGCTGGGCCCGTGAGCCATGGCCACTGGGCCTGCGCGTCCGGAGCCTGTGCTCCACAACGGGAGAGGCCGCAACGGTGAGAGGACCGCGTACCGCAAAAAGAACTGGCACGCTGACCACTCAGCTCTCATCCCAAGACCCCACGAAGAGAGGGCACGGTACCCTGCTTCCACTGCTGCCCGAGCTATGACAGATCAGTTACAGCCTCCCAAATATGTGCAGCTGTCCCCTGGGATGCCGAAAGCCAATGTGTCCCCAGCCCTGGGCTACAGTGTAAGATATCTATACGTGGACACCCACAGGCAGCCGCGTCACAGCGCTGAGAGGAAGGACTTCTCGTGGAAAGGCTACAGGTCCTACAGAAGATGCCGAGCGGCACGTGCGTCCCCAACATTCACGCTGTCAGTGAGGCTGTTTGTACAGTCCTACTGGGTCACTCCGCTTTTCCCCACCGGAGCTGAGCTACGGAAGCTGCTCCACTCTCGAACCTGCCTCTCACCCTGTGGGTCACGTCGAGGTGATGAAGAGAAAGCACATACCTCTGCGATGATGTCGCCGTTTTCCGCGTGGACTTGAGCAATCGCTCCAATGTCCCGGATCACACTCAGGACTTCATAGATCTGAGAGAGGGAGGGCGTGGGATCAGAGACAGGGACCTCTGTCTTCCTGGTCACAAGTACAACACCTCCCTGACAGCCACAGGGACCAGCACAGGGACCCCTCGCTGCTTCTATTAAGGCCGGCTTTTCTGACACTCCCGAGGCCAGTGGTAATTAACAGATAATTAACAGAGGCAGGGTAACCTAAAAGGGCTTGAATTAGGAGAAGCTCTCGGGTGACACCTTCTCTGCATCAGGTTTGCTGAAGAGGGTCGGGGAACACCTCTCGGCCACACTGGCCCACGGCAGGTGGCTGATTCCAGAGCTTGGTAGAACACCTGTCCTGGGGGACCAGGGCACTGGGTTCCTACCCTCCCTAAAGGGAGTTACATCCGGGGCTTCACCCACCAGCCATTTCCCGTGAGCACTCACTGGAGGCAGCTTTCAAGACAACAGCAGTGGTCCGAACATACCGAATGCCAGTGAGCGGGCTTTTCTTACCTGGGAATCCGTTAGCTGGAAGCGATCTTTGAAAGCCATGTACACGAGGAAGGAATTTACCCCTAGTGGACAGACAAAACAGAGAGGTGGAGACGTGACAAACAGATAAACCAATAATCTGGAAGAGAATAAGGAAGTAATAATATTGCGCATATGTATGCAGAGAGACAGAAAGAGGGAGAGACAAAGAGAGACAGAGATGGAGACAGGGAGAGAATGATAAAGCGAATGTGGTAAAATGTGAACAACGGGCGAATCTGGCAACAGGGTGCATAAGGATTCTTTATAGTATTTTTACAATTTTCTCTAAAGTTAAAACTGTATCAAAATTTTAAATTGCCCGTATCTGTACACCCATGTTCACAGCAGCATTACTCACAATAGCCAAAAGGTGGAAGCAAAATGTGTCTGTGGATGAATGGATACACAGAATGTGGTCCAGCCACACAATGGGATATTATCCAGCCTTAAAACGGAAGGGAATTCTGACACAGGCTACACTATGGAGATGAGCCTCGAGGACATTCTGCTAAGGGGAATACGCCAGTCACAAAAGGACAAATACTGTAGGATTCCACCTACAGGCCAAATTCATAGACGCAGAAAGTAGAATGGGGGTTGCCAGGGGCTGGGAGGAGGGCGAAGGGGAAGTTATTGTTTAACGGGTACAGAGTTGCATTTTGGAACGATGAGAAAAGGTCTGCAGATGGATGGTGGTGACGGCTGCACAACAATGTGAATGTCCTTAATGTCACTGAACTGCACACTTAAAAATGATGAAGATGGTAAAGTGTACGCTCTGTTGTATTTTACCACAATTAAACGTGAAAAGTTAAAAATAAAAGTTGTTCCTAACGGTTATGACTTTAACAAGAAGATGATTTAGAAGACCCTGCAGATGAAGAGCTATAATAAATGTCGTTTCTCTGGTAAACCGATTGCCTTTCAGGCCGATTTTTAAGAAACGTTTTTTTAACAAGAAAAGGGCTGTGAGTGTGACAAGCAGATGTCACAGTTCTCACCCTGGCATGTTAGGGTTCTCGCTGCCAGAGGCACCAGACCAAACATCCCTGCTCAACATTCATCACAATGGTAAACAACTGTACTGACAACCTGCTAGGCTTGGAGCTTAATTCAAGCTGTCGGGGGTGCTGGAAGCTGCCTTGGTTCAGTGCCTCAGGACATCCCTGCCCTCGTCCCCTGCTAGGCAACAGTTGCTATGGGAACCCTCCAGGCTGATGGGGAGTAAATTTATTACAAGTATTGAATCCATTTGAGTGTCGGTACTCTCAAAAGTGAGAAAGGTCAAGGGTTATACCTAGTTGCAGTCACATGGGACCTTCATGCTGCAATGAATCTTAAGGTATCTAGCCCAATAGCCTCACGTGAGATTTTTTTTCCTAATTGAGACTCATAAAATTTAAGTGATTTGCCCAAGGTCATACTAGCTAGCTTCTGGAAAAGCAGACAGATAAACCCAAGACTCCAGATTTTTATTCTAGGCTTTTCCTACCAAATCTATGGATAGCTACCAGATCCATGCCTAGATTTTACTCATAGCTCATGGCATTTCTGAGCTTAGCAGTCCCAGAACCCTAAAGCGTAGATGCTTCCTGGACGATTAGGATCCAAAGAGGTCAACATGTGACCCCACGTGACCTCCAGTCTATAGCCAAGGTCAAGGAGACGCCCAAAGATGATGTGGTCTGGTAACACCACCCAAACCCCCAAGGTTCCTGTGGACAAGAGGGTCCCAGAGGCACCTTGAGGTGGTTAAGATTTCCCCCAGCCTCCCTGGGAATCTTTCAGAACCCAATCCTTAGAATCTTCCTCCCCAAAATAGTCCTATGGACAAAGCCAGAGCCCACAGGTGGTCCCAGAGCCTCATCTCCCTCAAATCTACCCTGATTCTTCTGGGTCTGCAGGAAGAGACTGCTCAAGTCCTGTACTCAGGGTCCCGGGCTCTCTCCTAAGACCGCCCAGAATCCTCCCTGGGATATCCATGTTATCCTTTGAGGGCAAATCACTCTCACAGCCTCAACTCTCCAGCCCGGCTGGCGCACACAGCTCGCTCACGCCAGTAAGCTGTGACTAGCTGTCTGGCCACCTGCAATGAGCACGAGCTGCAGCCTAAGCCCTCCCTCCTGGCAGGCACGGGGATGCAGAAGGCATCGATCAGCACTCTTCCCAGAAGCTCTCCTTCAGGGCTCAGCCAGCTCGTGGGCTGAGAAGGAAATATCCACAGAAGGCGCTGGGGCAGCACCACCTACCGTGGTCCTTCACCAGGGTCTCCATCTCCTCCTGGATGCCCTTGTGCCACTCGGTGATGTCCACGTGCAGAGAGTAGTCGCAGCAGGACTTGCTGTCGGCCCATTCCCTCCACTGGTCGAAGGCAGCCAGCAGGCTGGTCCCAGGCTCGGGAACCACATGGTCAACTAGAAAGGAACAGACACGCGTCGTCACCAACGGGAGCTTCAAGGGTGGCGGGCCAGCAGCTGTTTCCCCATTTCGACCCTGAACAAGGGCTTCTTGGGTTCAAAATTGAGATGGTGATCTCTACAACCAGATTCTAAGAATCCACTTAAGCCAGCCGACTACCCAAGAAGGAGAAAGCAGAAACTTGGCACGGCACGACTCCTCCAGTGAAACCACGCACGACCTGCCCTGATCTGATTTCCCAGCTCAAAACCGCTGAAAGCACAGAGCTCGGGCACATTTCAAGGACAATGAGTCCTTACGGACAATGGCAGTGTCAGATGGCTGGCCAGAGCCGGCAAGCCCTTCCTTGTGTTGATAGCTGGCTCGTGAGACGCCCCCTACCAGACGGCAAGGAACTTGAGGATGCTGGACCGGAGCCACGCAGACTGGGCCTTTTAGAAGTTCCCCGGCATATCCACTCTCTCATCACCACTCGGATTTCTGCGGCATAATACCACTTTGTAATTTAAGGGAGATCTTTCATCCTACGAGTTCAAAGCATTTTAAAACTGCGGTTATTGTTATATTATTATTGAGGTAGGCTGATACGGAGGACAGAGGCCTCTGGAGTCAGGCTCCCCTGAGTCTCTTTCTTGCCTCCACCCCCCACCAGCAAGGTGAGTCACTTAATCTCCACCACCCTGAGTTTCTGTGCTGGTTTAAAATAGGGATATTACGTACCTCATACATTTGTTATGAGGACTCAATGAGACGGCATGTCAACCTTGTGTCACTCCCCAATTTAAATCCTCCAACAGCTTCCCCTTACTCTTCAGATAAAAATTAAAGTTCCCAACAAGGTCCTCAAGATCTTGGCTTGGCCCCTGCCTACCTCTACAAATCACCCTGGACCACCTACCCCCTTGCACTCTGATCTCCAAATACACAGGCCATCTTTCAGCCTCCTCCCTTCTGCCACATGGCCTTTGCACATGTTGTCTCTTCTAGGTCCTGAAGAGCTCTTGCCCAGTTACCATGATTATTATTACTCATCTTCTGCACAGAGACACTGAAATACAAACTGAAATGACGTGTCCAAGGTTGAATCAAACTTACATAACCAAGAAGACAAAACCCAGGACTCTTGATGCCTAAAGCAATGAATCATTCCTCTAAATATTAGATTTTCTACACCCAGGTAAGCAGTTCTCAGCTAAGAAAATGCCAGTCCAGGCAATGTTGGTGAGCTCAGATTTCTGAAGTGGATCAAATCTTGCAGACGCTGCTCAACTGTAATCAGCTGAGCTTGGCTTCATATGCTTGAAAATACGGACATCTAGGCTGAATTTTCTTTTGACAAAATTTACTTTTTATAAGTAGTAGTATATGTAATTAAATGGGTAAATACATTGCTGGTATTGTAATACATATAACATATAATGTTACCTAACAAAAGCAATGAGCATATACACTTCTAATACGAGTCTGTTCCATCTGTAAAATACTAACATAGAAACTCTGACAAAGTGATTTCAAGTTTTCTTCTTAAATTGTGTCCCCCTGCCCCTGGCAAAAAGAAAAAAAAAAAAGAAAAAGAAAAAAACGATGAAAACCTGACTTTGTAGCAATCACAGTTTGGGCAGTATCTCCCTAGTCACACCCCTGGTTTCATCACCTGCCCTCCTCCAAAAAGCCTTTGGTAGCTGTCCACCATCTCTAGAGTGAAATTCTAACTCCTTTTCTTGGTTCCTCCGAAAAGCCTTTGGTAGCTGTCCACCATCTCTAGAGTGAAATTCTAACTCCTTTTCTTGGTCCTGAAGATCGGTCCCTGCTCATCTCTCCAACATAATCTCTGCCACCTACCCCCTGCTCACCACCTTCAGGCCACCCCAGCCTTACTTCACTCTTTGAACTGCCCAACTCCCCGACCTCCAGGCCTTTGCACAAGCAGTGCTCTTTCTTTGGAAATCCATTCACCTTGCTCTTTCCTTGGGCATCTCGTTTTTCTCCCTCTGATTGGGTTAAATGTCACCATCCCAGGGTCGCACCCCCATGTGCAGTAGTTTCTGCATCGTTTCCGTACTTTACTCTCTGATTCTCCCCCCCCCCATCCCCTGTCGCTGGGATGTAAACTCCCTCAGAGCAGGGGGTAGGTGCCTAGACATAGGAAGTGCTCAATACCTATTTTCAACAAATGAATGAATGCTCCCTTCCAGCTCCCATGCCACCCTGCAAGATCAGGACATGCCCTCCTGGGAACACAATCAGATTTTCCTGCTCAACTCCAAGCATAGGTAAGATCATCGGGTGCTATGCTCCTTGAAGTTCAGGGTGTATAAAAATTATCTTGAGAGCTTATTAAAACCCAGGTTCCGGGCTTCCCTGGTGGCACAGTGGTCGAGAGCCCGTCTGCCGATGCAGGGGACACGGGTTCGTGCCCCGGTGCGGGAAGATCCCACATGCCGCGGAGCAGCTGGGCCCGTGAGCCATGGCCGCTGAGCCTGCGCGTCCGGAGCCTGTGCTCCGCAACGGGAGAGGCCACAACAGTGAGAGGCCCGCGTACCGCAAAAAAAACCCCAAAAACCCAGGTTCCTTGACATCGCCCCCAGACTTTTGGATTCTGTAGGTCTGGGCTGGGACCTGAGAACCTGAACTTTTAATAAGCTCCCTGGGAGCTTCCACTCTGAGCATCAGTAACTGAGGGCAAATCTTTTCCCACTGATTTCTTCTGCCATACCGCCATTCACTCATGCCCACTTTACCATCAGGGTCCTGTTTACTACACAACAGAATTATCACTGACCAAAAATATCTGGTTCTCTATATATCCAAAAGCAGCTCCTAGAGTTATGAACCCTTGAACACTCAGGACACAGGCAAAGTTGAGGGCTTCAGGGAAATAAACACATTTCCTCCAAGGGCTAATGACACTCAGAAACGTGTCCGCGAAAAGCCTCCACATGTTTTCCCACAGTTCTCTTTAAATAGAAGCTCTCCCGGGAAGAGCTGCTCCAGGGAACAGGGCAGAGCATCATACTCATTTCCGGAGGGAGCAGAGATTCTCCTCTGAGGACAAAGCCTGGAAATGACTTGCATGGAACTCACAGGCCTTTTCCCTGGTGACTTTCCTAAGCCATCTGTCCCTACGAGAGCCTGGCTTCTGCCTGACAGTTGACTTCTCTCCGCTTTTGTAAGACGTGAGGGACAGCTCATCAACCCAGCCTGGCATCGGACCAGGAAAGGATGGCCTTTGGGTTCGGTGAACCCCAAGTTCTGATTCTGACTCCTGCTGCCTCACCCCCCTGCTGTGTATATTCCTTGGGACCCTCCTCTCTTCACACGTAAAACGCGGGCATGAAACAACTACCGTTGAGTGCAGGGCTGTAAGAAGTTCAAGAAAGCGTGTGAAAGCACCTGGTAAAACATCTGGCACACGCCGAGTCTTCATCCCCTCAGGATGAGCCATCGGAAACACCACTGTGGTTTCAGGAGGAGGCCTGTGAACCTGGTTTATGAGACAGCCAAGAAGATGCCCCAGGACGGCGGCCCGAACTGAGGGGTTCCAACCAGCGTCCAGAAGTGCTTGTAGTTAGAAGACACCAGCTCTTTCCAAAGGACTGTTATTACGTCTCTTAAAACTGTCAAAGGACCCTCCTTTTTTTTAACAGCTTGACTGAGATATAATTCACATACCAGCCGATTCACTCATTTCAACTGTTCAGTTTTTAGTCTCGTCAGAGTTACACAGCCATCACCACAATCTAATTGTAGAACATCGCCCAAAAGAGAAACCCCATAGCCGTCAACTGCCCCTCCCCACACCCTCCCGTCTCTGCTACTCCCGGCCCAAAGCAACCGCTAATTTGCTATCCGTGTCTATGGATATTTCATATAAAAAGAGTCATACAATATGTGGTCTTTTGCGTCTGGCTTCTTTCACTTAGCATAGCGTTTTCAAGGCTCATCCACCGTCGCATGTACCAGCACTTCATTCCTTTTTATTGCCTTGAGTGGTTTGGGTACCCTGTTGTTACATTGATTGGATATCGGCAAAGTGTTAACAGCACGTAAACATGCTGCTCCTGGAAAATTCAAATCTAGGACCTCTTTGGAGTTTGTAGTATTTAAAAGACCCTATTTTTTAAACGTCTTATAGTAACTGTAGATTCACAGGCAGTTGTAAGAAACGATACAGACAGATGCTCAGACCCTCCACCCAGTGACACCCCCCCAGCCAGGGGTGATGTCTTGCTAACCTGAGTACAACATCACACCTAGAAAGTCAGCCCTGACATAATCCAAGACCCCAGAATTTTTAAAAGCCAGCGATTAGTGTTTCTGATCAATTTGCATGGGGCCCTTCGTACTCAGAACACATAGAGATGGTAGAAAATCACCACCGCGGTCCCGGTTCTGGAATTGAGGCGGCTGAACAAGGACAACATTCCAGGTCTGCTGCGGGGAGAAGCAGGTAAAGCAGGAGAAAGATGCGGGGGTGGTCAGCCCTGCCGGGTCCCCGCTCGGGCCCTCCCCCTGCCTCTCCGAAGCCTCACCCACAGATCCCTGTAGGGGCAGGTCTAGAATCTCCTGCAGTCGGTACACACACCACCAGCGCTCCCTGGGGCCGCTCTTGAAACTATCAGAACTGCCCATCACCAGCCTCCCCTTCCAGAATCAGCACTGCCTCATTCTCCAGGCCCTGCATTTAACTGTGTGTGTGCGCGCGCGCGCGTTGGCCTCACCCATTTCCATCTCAGATAAATTAATGGACTTGAATTAAAAGCAAACCATCAGGGAGATAACAACACAAACCGCCGCTGAGTTTCGGGGCTGGCGTCTACTTAGCGAAATGCCAGGTGCCCTAGTCAGCAGGGAATGGCTTTTGTTGGTAGAGAGATAAGAGCCTTTGGGGAGCCCAGCCTGACAGTTTCGTTCTGAAAAAAGGCAGAAAGGGAAGAGAAAGCACCTATGCCTGGGGATAGGAGAGGGACACATAGGAGAGGTAATGCTTGAGCTC